TAGCACTTTACTTTACTATGTTAACATACACGTAGCAAAGAGCCTGAAGCAATGCCGTCAATCCACAAAACCCTTCTCACCAAACTGTAATCCCCTCAACCTTCTTCTCTCCAGCACACAGGGATTTCCAAATCCTACGCTGATGTTGCATCACCACTGGTGTGTGTAAGATGACATCACAGTTTCCTTGAGGTATAGATTAGTGAGCGCTGTACACCAGGGATCACCAAAGCTTCTTAAAGCATAAAGCTACTAGAAAAATACTAATCTGAACAATGGCTGAGGTACTGCTGTTGAAAATGTAAAAAAATTAATTTGCACCATTTAGTAATCTTGACCATTTCTTCTGACAAAGGAAATTTGATGTATGCTCAAATCAGAAGATTATTTTACTGATAAATTTGGAAAGTTACTCAATAACAGGTATCATACCCTTAAATAGTGTGTCCAAAAAGCTATACAGTACACTAAAGTCAAAGTTAATGCACAATCACAGATACTCAGGTTCAAACTTCTATAGGCAGCAAAAAAAGCAGCTTAAACTTTTTTTTGTTGCTGCCAGAAGCAGGTGCAGATGAATATTCATGAATGGAATGAGTATCAGGTTGCTTTTCTAACCACTATTGTGTGAGTGAGTTAGTGTGACAGCACTTGTGTGCGCAGCAACTGTGCTTCTGTATATCTGATTCTTTGTGTAGGTGGGGAAAAAAAAAAAGCCATTGCTCAAGGAAGGACAACCACGAGATAAAAAAAGAAGCAACAAACAAAAGTAGACCAACTGCAGTACTGAATATTAATGAGAAACAGAGTGACTCATTGCAAGTTGAACACAAGGAACAGCAGGAAGGGGGGTGTTGCACTTATTCCTATTTGTTCATTTAGATTTTATATAAGCCTGGAGAAATTGCAAAACATGCCCTGTAGCTATTTTTTCTGAAAATAGAGCTGAGTGCTCTAAAGCAGAATCTTTCAAGTTGTCTTTTTTACACAAATGATACACCTCTGTCACAGCTGCTACTCATTTTAATTATTTTGATCAGAGGCTAAAGTTCAGTTGGCAAGAAATAGAGCAAAAAAAATAATGCAATCTGAAAGAGTATGCCACATTAAGAAAGTTTGAAACAAAAAAAAAAAAACACATTAGGACTATACAACTTAATTCTACTGCATGTGGTTTTTGATCTTATATTATCTACATCAGGGGTCTTCTCATAGCTCTTTTCAAATAGCTCCTCAAAGGGTTGGAAAAAAAAAAATCTAGTCAAATTTTATTTGTCACTGAGCAAACAAGCTTACATTTATGTCCAATGAAATTCATAGATGCTCCATCCCCTTCTAAAATATTACTTTTCAATTCAACTCCATTCAGATACACAATTGCAGGTCAAGAATCACATGTTAAGATAGAAGTAGTATCAAATGAAAACTATTCAATTTTAACAATTAATTTAAGGAAATGAGGTCAATTTGTCCTCTAATCGTCTAAGCTTAAAAGAGTATGACACGCCGACCCTAATTATAGGATTTATCAAAAAGAAAAGTCTTAAGCCCAGTCTTAAAACTGGACAATGTGTCAGCCTTACGGACAGAATCTGGAAGCTGGTTCCACAAGAGAGGAGCCTGATAACTGAAAGATCTTCTTGGCTGTAACTTGTGGCTGTAACTCTGTACCAGAACCACAAAATGTAAGACACAAATTTTATCTGCTACTGCAACTCAATGTTAAAATTGTCGCAAGTTATGTGTTATCCACAGCTGCACCTGAACAGGTAGAATCTGACCTGGACAAATGTGAATGGTTGTCAATGCAGTGTGACGAGTCTGTCAGCGCTGGCTGGTTTTAATCAGGTGGCGTTTCATGACTTTTCCACCAAATAAGAGTCTTAAATCCCAATCCCGCTAAAAACAACAACCAAGGGAGTTGAATTGTACTCCGCTGTGAAGGACTATTTTGTAGCCAAAAAAGGTCCCGGTTGGAAAGATGGTGTCTGTGACAACTGACAGAACGGCCACTACAACAGGTCAAAATGCATATTCATGTAAATTCAACATTTTAACGTTAACGTTTTGTAAATGTTCAAACTAGCTCATTTACAGATTGTGAAAGCAGCTCTCAAAAGAAAAAGAAAAAAAAGATTGGAGACCCCTGATCAATGAGTTATAATAAACATATCTACATATACATTATAACTCAAAGTGCGCCCGACCACAAAAGGAGGAAAAGTACTTTTTTTTAGCTCATAGTACATTACCATAGAAACACTGTATAACAGCTGGTTTGCATGCCAAAAGTACGCTGGTATCCCGCCTACATAATTTAAGCTCCGTTTAGATGAGCTTTGTCCGCTCTGTGATCTAGTGGGAGCAATGGCAGTCATACATTTTTCAAAAGAAAGAGAGAGAAATGGACTAAGAGGTGCACTATTAGAGAGGCTGCACAAAAAATGTGGCAGACAAGTAAATTGGGAGATTTCTGTAAAGGTTCAGATCTTCTAGTAGCATTCAATCTGAAGAGATGAAGATGATAGGTAAGTCAAGAATGACTAAAAAGGGGATAAATGGAAAAATAGGAGGAAGAAGAAAGAGGGGGGAAGAGACAATTTGAACCAAAATGAAAAGATGAATGCAGAGGAAAACTGATAAATTATTTATATACTCATCTGTTTTTCACCCTATCAGTAAAAAATGTACATTTATTTTAGCCAGGAAGTAAAAAAAAAAAAAAGACTGACAGAAGAGTGTATGAAGACAGAGAAAAGTCTGAGAGAAAGACGAGGACAGTAGTGGCTCCTGAAAACAAAAATATTAGTGGGGTGGACATTAATTTCCTGAATGACTCACCGCACAAATTTTACAAACTGTGTTGCATTTCTGTGATAAAAATAGGATATATGATGTTCAATATTTAAGTCGACGTCGTAGTTTTTAATTTTTGCTTATTTTGGTGAAACTTGTTTGTTATCCTCTTGCAGGTCGTGGTTGTATCTTGGGAAAACAGTGTAACAAATCAGAAAAATGGACGCCTCCCACCCCCACCGAAACTGGGATAACCACCATTTCAATGCATGACCAAATTATTAACACAATATATGAGAGAGGTGGTGACTTGGTGAACACTCACGCTCAGAGTTGTTAGGGTGTGTAAACGTTTTTTTTTTCCCACTTTCTTAAAAAATTATAATAAAAAAAGTGAATAAATAATATTAGAATGTGTCACCAATTTAAACAAATGTTCCAAGCACAGGTCAAACACAAACTCATGATTAAAAGCCCTCTAATGTAATTTTATTGTATACTACCACAGTCATAAATGCATTTTCCACAGGACTGGTTAAATAAGATGCTACCATAGTAGCAAAAATCTCCTGATGTTTCTCTCCTCTATCCTCCTCAGTTTTCTGTTCAGGTCTCCTCTGACTGTTCCAAATGGATTTAAACAGAATCTCTTCACAACACAGCAGGTTTTGCTGCAGCTACTCCTGCGTTTGAGCTTACATCAAGTCTAGTGTTGTAGTGGTTGTACCAATGCTCTAAAACCAGACGAATGTGTCCACAGGGCAGAAAACTGGACGCCTCAAATTAAATTATACTGTTTGCATCGCTGGCAATATGTTCCAATCCACTTGATGAACGTGGGTCAGAGAAAGAAGGCGCCCCATAACAGTAAATCAGTAAAAAAACTGAAAATTAATGACTGTAGCACACTATACAGTAGCCCAATAGTAGGCTACTATATTAGGAGTAATAGTACTAATTTACTGTACTACTGTAATAGTAGTAATTTCATTGGTAAGTTTTTTTTTTCTCCTTTATTAATACAGGTAGTGTAATTGAGTCACGAGGACCCACCCCTTAAGACAGACGTGTAATGGGCCTGGGTGTGACTGGATTAAATGTTTTGGCGGCATGAAGCTCGTTAGCCCGTTAAAAAAAAAAAAAAAAAAATCCATCCATTATCTTAACCCTCTTCTTCCAAAAAATAAATAAACAAATAAATAAAAATCCATGAATTTGCTGCAGCACTGTTTAAGCCACGACGTTCAAAGCGTGTGAAAAAAGCAGCGGCTTAAAGTCAGGAAATGACAGTACTAAAAATCAATTAAAGTTCCATTTTAAATCATCAAAATAGTTTTTAAAAAATCCACAGAACTAAAATGAGTAATTAACATTATTAATTAGGAGGAACTACTTTGTGGGGCGAATGAATGACACTTGCCCCAATGGACTGGTGCCACTTGTTGAATATTTGATGGGATTAGCATTTTAATATATTACTGAGGTCATGCGGAGACCAACAGCCCACCATGGTTTCAGTAATATGTAGTGACTGTAATAATAATAATAACTTCACAGTTCAGACCCATAGAGCAGAAGCAGAGCACAGTCCAGGAATCTGCTGAAGCAATTTATTTCCATCTTTACTCAAATACAAAGTTGACTTCTCTTCAGCCAAGATAGTTGCTACAGGTGATCACTAGCAGATCAGAAATATAAACTCACAATAACAGTAAGTGTAGCGACTTGATTTAGTGTGTAACTTAAAATGAAACACGTTTGCTGTTACACCTGCTGATGATCTATAAATCAATAAACCTCAAGGAGAGTGTGCACACGCGTGTAATTGTTTGACCTTGACTTGTCAACTCCTGCCAGTCAGAATAATGTGTCAGTAGAGAAAAATAAACAGTGAGTCAGCAGGCACCCTCAATGAATTACAATAAGGACAGATGGGCTGTTGCTGTGTCATGAGAAACACCCAGCACTGCGTTCACCATGAAGCAGCTTCACTGGAAAAGCAGAGGTAGCCGAGAAACTGAACAAATCTGGTAATTAACCCCTCTGACTTTAATCAAACAGCATTTCTTTAGGTCCGAATTATTTCTCAAGTAAACAAAACATTTGCAACTCATCTGTTTCACCAAGAACGTAAAGAAACACTTCTAATTTCTGCATTTCCAACTTCCATTTTCATCACTTTGTATCATCACCCATCTTCCTGTTCACCCCTTCCTCCAGCTGTCCAGCCTGCTGTTCCACTGCCTCTCCACCAAGAAAGGAGTGATCACACCAGCACATGACACCACGCTGGGACATGTGGCATTTCCACCGCTACACATCTCATCTGCCTAAATTAGCATGCATTACACTATCACATGAGCAATTAAATTGAGAGGGAGAATGACATTGTACAGTAGGTGGGAGACTGGCAGAGTCCTCAGGTGGGGTGGAGGAAGGCAGGTGTTGGCAGGATGGGGTGGGACAGGGGGATATTTTAAGGAGGGCACAGCAGGAACCGAGGAGGGTTAGTCAGGCAGAGAGAAAGGATGGACAATTTTAGAAAAATACATCATTAAAAATGACAAATAAATACAGGAAACATCTGCAGAAAAAAATAACTACTTACAGTAAATAAGAACATACACAAAAAAATGTGAGGCTGTGCCATTTACAAGCTCTTTTGACCTGACAAAACAGGTACTTTGTATTTTGTGGCTGACATTTTCACATAGCAACAGCAATCGAAAACTAAAATCCAAAGAAGTGCATTTAAAAGTTTAGTGACTTTCTGTGATATGAGGGGGAAAAAGTGGCTAAAGACGCCTAAAAGCTCCTACTTAAAATTCTGATAACAGTAAGAGCAGCAGCCATCCCTACAGTGATCGATTTATCTGCATCAAAAGCCACACAGCTGATGATGAAACTACACGCGAGACAAAATGGTACGCTATAGTTAGCAGCAATTCTGGTTTAATACATAGCACAATGTTTTATTACTTCACTTCAAATAATCTCAATAAACAGAAATCATTTGTCAGATTGAGCTGCAATAAAAACTGCATTTATAAAAAGATAAATCCCAGGACATTTAGCAAAACTGAAGACATGTTTTATTACTGTTTGAACTCATTACTAGTGTGTCTTCCATGAGGAGAAACTAAGCAAATGTCAGGATCTAGCTTAAAATGATTTGTAGTAAGAATCACCACCACACTGAGCATGGGCAAGCAGGAAAAAGAATGGTGTGAAGAGATCAAGATGGCAATATTGGACAAGCATGATGAAAGTAAATGTTAGGAGACTATTTCTGAGCAACATAATATTTCTGTGACCTTAGCTGCTAATTAGAAAGTTTAAAGATAATAAATAGTTTTCTAGTTAAGAACAAAGGAAAACAATATATCCAAGATTCAGGCTCAAGGTACAAACCTCTACTGCAATGGTTCCCAACCCTGGTCCTTGAGGAACACCAGCCTGCATGTTTTAGATGTTTCCCTGCTTTAACACATCTGATTTAAATGAATAGGCAATTAACAGGCTTCTGCAGAACATGAGGAAGTAATTAAATCACTGAATCAGGTGTGTTGGAGCAGAGAAACAACTAAAACATGCAGGATGGTGTTCCTCAAGGACCTGGGTTGGGAACTATTGCTACTGGACAAGACATGTGAGCTAGCTCAATAGAGGATTTTACTCTGAAAAACATTACGTCTGCAGTTACTGACAACACTATTGTGACAAAACGTATCACAGGGTTTTACATGCAAAGTAGTATGGAAAACAATGAGGAAGATGAAGACAAAAACAGCAAAAGTCAAGATGATTTATATTATTTTACTTATATTATTGAAGTTAATCAAACTCACCAGTTGTAAAGATGAGCGGCCACTGGCAAACTGACTAAAATTATTTAGACAAGGAGCACCACAAGCAATAAGCCAAAAGGATCTGTTGAAACGTGGCTACCTCCATCTCCATCAAAACACACAAGTCGTCTGAGTTTGCATGCAATGTATGTTTTTTTGTTTTCTTATTTCCATATAGATAGAACAGACCATCAACGCTTGGGATGAGAGACTATATCATCAAAACCCCTGTACAACACACAAATACATTTTTTAGGTCAATTCAGGGTTCTTTGTGCATCAAATCCCATTTTGCACAAGCTTATTGCAGCACACAATCAATACTTTTCCATCTAATGCAGACTAACATGTGTACATGTAGATTTTATGAGGGCTAACCCTCTAAGCATAAAACATTAAACACTGCCATTTGCACAAGCCAACACAACATAGTGCTAACTACAAAGAGCTGCAGAGTCATTACACAAACCTCTGTGGATCTAGTGTGTGATAGTAAACACAAGACAATGCACAGTAACATTTGCCTCAAGCCATCTTGTTATCTAGGTGTGAACATGTATGCACAGCCGCAAGAAGTACAGGTTGACATAGAGTTATCATTAGGGACCAGTCCCTCTGGATCAATACAATCAAACAGTATTTATGACCAAACGCACGCTTCATTTCTTCACTGTTTACCAAGTTTCACCAGCATTCAACATAGATCAGACACTTTTATTGAGCCAGTCCAAATCAAGTATACAAGGAGCAACATTTCACACATCAAATGTGCAAAAACAATTAACAGAGCGCACAACAAAGAGAGGATAGATGATCCTAAAATAACGCACAAGCCAAAGTATGACGCCGGTTCTTCCTGCTGCAAATTTCAAATAAGTTTGTGAGCATGGAGTCAATGACCCAAACAACATGGTCACACCAATCACACAAACCATTGAATCATCAAGTTTTATATTATGTCTATCATTTTCAGTCAAGGCTTATTTGATGAAAAAAAAATAAAGACAGATCAGCATAAACATTTTAATTTGATCCATCAAAAAGTCACTGGTTGAAGCACAGTTTGACTGAAAGGATCTGCTTTAAAACCTGTTAACTATTTAGAGACAGTTCAGTAAATAAGGATGTCACTGTTAAAAAGTTAATGTTGATAATTCAGGTAAATACCCCAAGCTCAATAAATCTTTTAGTTGGGACAAAACAAAATTCGATCATATGAATAACGTGTAAATATGATATTCATAGAGTGAAACTTTTTAAACATCTACATTTTGATGTCCTCTGTTGTGTTATATATAAAGTTACACCTTCGTGTAAATTTCTGTTGGCAAAGAGGGGCAGTGTTGGCGTCTTTATTTACATACCTTATATCAGGGGAGGGTCATTCCAAAGGTGAAGAGTGCAAACATCAGGGAATATGTAAGAAAGAGAGAAATCGAGGGGAAACAAACGTTAATTTAGCAATTAAAACAAATAAGATCTAATAGCCAAAACATTTTTTATTAGATTGTCATTTTCAATTGTTTATAGGATTGTTTTGTTTTAATTTGTACAACACATTTAACGGTAACTGTATTTATTCAGGACTGTCTTTATAACAGAAAAAGTAACCACAAGCGTAGGTAAATTATTTAATTTGCCCAACAGTTTCCAGTCATACCCATAATGCAAATGTGCCAACTCTCAGGTAGCAGTAACGGCACCCATCTCCTGTGCCCATGTTGTGCCAGTGAAGCAGGCTGGCACAGAGCTGACTGGTGCTCTGCAGCGTTGTTAAAACACAGCAGCACAGCACCAGCCTCAGGTTAGAAAGATGTGATTCATTAATCAGAACTCCCTGCGGGGAATAACACTGCCTGCTGGCACAGCCTCTCTTTTCACTCTCCTTCACTCCCTGCTGACTATAGCCACTGGACAAACAACACAAGAGTAAGCTGTACACATTCACCGTATGTTTAAAAAAAAAAAATAAATAACACCTTTATGAGTCCTACTCACACTTAAACACCTTAGACATGCAAATCAATATACATAATCATACTTCTTTGCTATAGCCTTGTCCCCTACAGATTATCTTTCAAGAAATACCTTGACTGTAAGATAAATACTTTGAACTCAAATGTTTTTTCTCTGAAAGCTCACAATTTATCTGGATGTCTTTGCCTCTTTGGCTTTCTATTTGTGTTTATGCAGCAACATTGGTTTTATTAATCACTGTCGGCTACAGAAATGCCAGAAATAGCCGTTAGGTATCACATTATTCAGGTGCATCAAGTTATTTTATAGGTGAATCTACCTTTAGGAGATAAATGCTTCCATGATGCTATGACTTACAAAAGGCCTTTTATTTACCAAGTCCTCATTAAGATAATGATTAACCAAAACAATTCTGTCTTTCTTTCACTTTAGCAAACAAGTTTGAGTAAATTGAGTGCAGCGCCGCCTAAACCACTATTGATGTGATGCTTCCTGCCAATACTCAAAGGATGAGCCTTGCTTTTTAAAAACTTGCATGCCTTTAAATGCCCTGAGGTGTTCAAGCACTTAAGTGCATCACACGTTAGAATGCACTCTGCTCCATGGCGTCCTCAGATAGAAATTTTAAACAGACAGCGTGGCAGGGATCAGTGATAAAAAGCCACGACTGTGCAGCCAAAACACAACTTGAAGGTGTGTTTGTCTCACATCCACTAATGGTGGAAATGTCAAGGCTGCAGTGAAGGACAAAGCAGAAATAGAAGAATAGTTCCCTGTGCAGGTTGAAGATAAGTCACTGGGAAACAAAAAGGTTTTTGAGATTAAATGTTTGGGGACAGTATTTTAAGGGCAATCGCTGACTTTAAGTGTGTTTGTCATTGTATTTAGGGCAGAAAAAGCTGAATATAAGCTGAATGTAAATACTGATCATCCCTTCTCCAAACAGGCATTAGCCTTTAGCTGACAGGAACTAGTAGAAAATACTGTTTTAGAAAGTTTGCAGAATGAAAACATAGCTTTTTGTAACAAGGTTTGCTGATATTTTGTTTGAATTTATAAACTAACATGTTATGGTTTAAATCTTCAACAACAAAAGCTTATGGTTTTGCTACTCTGGTGAAGAGAAACAAAAATTGTACCAAGTGTCCTCTGGCTACAAACAAAAGGGCTGACTCTTCCTTTCAGGCACCCAAAGGTGTTTCTAGATGTCAACAGGCTAGTGAGACATACCACTTGCGTCAGATTAGAGCTGGTTTAAAAAAAAAAGAGAAAATCTATACTGAAACCCCAAAGGATGATAAGCCATTGCAAGTTGTGAGTGCAATGCAGCAAGACGCATGGAAGAACATCAATCCACCTCTCTCTTCACGGCCTCCATCTATCATGACAGTAGCACGACCCTTTTCACTGTGAGACCTGCTGTGCTTCGCTTGGAGCAACTTATTTTCCCATTTCAAATTCAAATTGCCAAAACATATCTGGCCACCCTGACATTAATCTCCATTTTACAAATTAGCATTTCAATTTTCTAAACAAGATAGAAGGTAGACAAGGAACAGTAAATATGAGAATTGTAGGGTTTGTATTTGTGTATCAGACTGTGAGCAAGGCTGAAAAAGCCTCCACATGTGTATGTGCTTCTGTATGCAACATACTTTAAGGATCAACAAAGAGGGCTTCCTTGCTTTTTTTCTGCTCACTGCTTTCACACACTTGACTACAGCTCTAATCACCTACAGAATCCACAACATTATTTCACAGCAGCTAATCACTGCTCTTAATATGCCTGTAATTACCTGACATTTGGATGTAATTGACAGAAACAGCAGTAGGTTTGAGTATAAGAAGAATAAAGACACAAGAAGCAAAAAACAAAAACCACATCATCTCAAGTTATTCCACTGTCAGTTAAAGAAAATTAAACCAGATTTGTGTTGCTTGAATTAATGCTACATTTAATATTTTGTCTTATGTTCTTTGTCATCGTCAATCTTTGATCCATGTAATTTTGACAAATCTTAGATTCTAAAAGATATCATTTGACAAGTCTTGCATCAAATGCCTTTATCTAAGGTTTGCACATCCTCATATGTTAACTATGAAGCATTGTTAGTCTGTTAATTTGATTAATATAAAAAACTTTTTCAAATTACTGTTTTTTCCAAGCCTTTCTTGATCGCTTTCTCACCCGCATCTTCTACTTTCCAGCTGTCAACAGCTAACACAGCTTCTCTTTGCAATGCTGCAAGCATCCTTCTTCCCTCCCTCCTTGCTATTTTCCCTCTCTCACACAATCTGTTAGCTGCACACGCTCACAACTTCACCCCATTATTTATTGATCACTGAGCAGAGGGCCAGAGGAGGGACTGTGTATGGGGTCTGAGTAGTATTTCCATAAAAAAAATATTTAGGGCCACAGCCTCTCGGATTCCCAACAGCCATCTTGGTTCATAGGACATGATTAAAGGAAAACTCAGTCTTTATGAAATATGCACAGCTTATAAAAGTAGCAATAAGGAAACAGGACAGTGATGGGGGCTTTATGCGTGGCTTTACAATCAGAAATCTGGTGGAAAAAGGTTAAATTAATCACTAAGGCAAACATAAATATTTTAGATTCATTTACATGAAATACATTAAATCAACTCCCTCACAAGTTTCTACATTTCCTCTCTTTCTTGCAGTCAACCCCCTTTTTTTGCTTTAAATAAAGAACAAATGGTGCACGTGGCAGCATGGCCAAGGAGCGCTAAAATTGAAGTGACATTGTGTGTCATTACATTCCTCCACACCATCCGAGACTCTGCTGATTCAAAGGCACCGCCAGTAATAGCAAAGATGTGTGTGAGTGTGTACTGAGAGCTTTGTAAAAGGTCAGAAATGGTACTGGAGTCTCTTGTCAGCATTTATAGTGAGTGGTGTGGCAGCCGAGAGAAAAGGTTGGCAGTATCTTTTCATTTAGATTTCTCTGGAAAATGAGACTGTGTTTCACGGCTGTCTCCACGGGAAAAGGAGCAGGAAGCAGAGAAGAGGAGAAAGTGCAAAAAGATGCTGAGAGATGTGGAAATGGCCATTGATGGTTAATGAAATGGACCCAAGGTGAGCACAGTTTGATGTGGGGCACGCATGTCTGTGTCTTGCCAATGCCACAAGACAACCTCAGCAACCAGCAACGCAACAGGACACAGATGCCAGGAAAGGCTCTGATATCCTGAACGCGAAATACAGAGCAGTTGGAGCACAAACAAAGAGGAAGTACAGGTAACTTGCATAAAACACCCCTGAGAAGAGGCATCAGTCAGCAAGAGGAACAACTATCTAGCTGTGAGTATTCATTGAATGAAAACTGAATTCATTTTGTCTAATGAAGTGATAAGCTAGAGTAAAGACAGATTAATAAAACCATACAGAGACATAATAAAACAGAGCTGGGCAGTTCATTTGGGATGGTGATCAAGTGGAACTACTGCAGAGACACAGCAGTAACACATTTTCTCTCCCCCACTGGTTTCTGTTAAGTCTTTCTCCCTAGTTATGGCATAAATGATCAATTGGCCGTCATTTACCAAAGCTGCTTGTTAATCATTTATCACGGTAACCATTCAGTATGTAGGAGGCTGTTAGCTAGCAAGCCGACCTATGTGAAACAAAGAGCATGGAGCTCCCTGTGGGACCCACTAGAAAGGAGAATAGCAATGGATCATCTCATGAACATTAATCATACTAGCCTAGTTACTTAAACAGTGTATAAATGGGACGTGGGAGTTAACATCTACTCCGCTCTTATGTAGTAGTATAAAACAAAGAATATAGCATAAAAAGTCAGCAAGGACCGTCAAGTCTGAGGCCCTATAAACACACCTAACAACAAACCCATAGTATTTTGTGCATTTAATTGGGCCAGAGATGATTGACAAATCAGAGCATGTCATGTCTAATGACCTCAGCATGTATGTGCAGGACACTTGTGCACATACATGCTGAGGTCATGTATGGAGGGGGCACTGGAGGCAATGGAGGAGAGGGCGTGACAAAGAGATCAACTTATCACAACATAACTGGTTTGTTCCACTTTGGAGTAAGCTGTTGGGGGAATAAACAGTTTTTTTGTTGTGTTGCCTTGACTGATGAAGCCTTCCGGATCAAAGGCGAAACGTTTCAGCACAAAAAAAAAAGAAACTGTCCAGATGACCCGACTGAAAAATGTTGGATTGTATACCTGGATTATTAAGCATGGACTTTGTTGTTACATGCAAGGTCAGTTTGTGCATAACTCTGAGCTTAAGAGTGTAAATGAACAGAAACCAAATTGAAACTGGGCTGTAAAGCTTTCAAAATATTTTGTTTGACATTGTAATTGTTACACACGTGACGACAGACACGTTGATTGTTGTGTAACAGAGTGCATTATTCTGTGAATAACAGAAATCAACTTCTTAATAGCTTCAGTGTTGACCCAACTGTACAGCTCGCGCTTGAACCGAGCTGCTGCTTCTGCATTTATCCTATGCAGACTAATCGTTGAGTATTCAGTTACCTGTACAGTTTCTGCTACACATTATGTACAAAATAAAACATGTTCCATCACAATAGACGAACAACCGTAAAAATGCCTATTTTCCTCCATATAGAGGCTAACGCTAGATAGAATTTAGGCTAGCGGCCACTAACAATTACAGTATTTCTAATACACAGAACATGGCTTCAGTGCTGACCCAACCATACGCAGCAACTGCGCTAGTGTATAAAGCTTGGAAAGTCCGTCTCTAGTGCGCCACTACTGCCCTCTACTGGCTTAAAGTGGTACAGCATCATAAATTACTTTTTAAAATGTGAGTGTTACACAACAAAAACACAAACAATGCATGAAAAGTTGTTGGGGGGTGTCTTAACAGTCAAATAGTCCTGGGTGCCACACGATAATTAAATTGTA